GTTTAGGGTTTAAGGTTTTGAGTTTTAAAATTTAGGGTTTAGAGTTTTAGGATTTTGAATTTTAAGATTTCGAGCGTTTGAAGACTTTTAGGGTTTCAAAACTTTGAGTTTCAAATTTTGGATTTATAGGATTTCAAAAAAAAATTTTTAAATACGAACATCTATAAAAATTTTCAATATTTAGGTAGACTTTCAAAACGAGCTCACTTTTTTTATTTTCAGAAATTAGTTAAAATATTTTCATGTATTTTTTTTTTCATAAAATTTATTATTATTATTATTATTATTATTATTATTATTATTATTATTATTATTATTATTATTATTATTACCATCATCATCATCATCATCATTTTTAGTTATTTTTTATTATATTATTATTTAATAATTTTCTAACATCTTGGTGTAGTTATTTATTATTTTTTTAAAGGACAATTTTTATTTCCCCCATCATCTAGGTAAGAAAAAAAATCTTTTTTATTATTCTATTTTCATTATCAATTTTTATAGTTTTATTTTTTGGTTATTATCCTTCTTTATTTTTCAAATTTAAAATATCAAAAGTTTTGAAATCATTTTCATTGTTATTATTGTTATTATTATTATTATTATTATTATTATTATTATCTAGTTATTTATATTTTATTTTTTATTTTTTTAGGTTTATTTTAATTTTTTTAAAAATTATCAAAACTTTAAATTTTATTTTTCATTATTTATTGTTATTTATTTTTTATTTTCATTTTTATTATTGTTATTATTAAAAACAAGAAATATTTGTTCTAGAAAAACTTGAAATTCTAAACATGCATAAATGATAATAATAAAACTAAAAATAATTAAAAAAATTAAATCAAAAAATTAAAAAAATACCTAAACCAAATTGGTCAATTGTCCAGTCAATACCAGTTCAACTAGACCGATTGGTGGTGGTTCGAGCAAGCAGTTCAGCTGAATCAATTAAGGGTTGGCTAAAGGAGACGGGTCGTCGGGTGCTCAGGTCACATGAATCCCAATCAAGTCGCAAGCTGGTATGCCGATCTTGAAAGTTAAAACAATGTTATTTTGGCCCTTGTTTCACCTCTGTAAAAGCTCAAATTTTTTTAGCTCATTTTACTTCTTCTGCTTAAAAAAAAAATTGTATTTTTCTCTGAAATAAAAATCCAAAAGTTGGCCACATTTCCTAAAAAGTGATCACCGTCTATCATACCAGTCGTTGCCTAGTCAATGCCAATGGTTGAAAAAGCCCAAAAAAAAAATACCCTACCATTCTTTTTTCCCCATTTTTCCTTGTTTTAGCCAATGTTATTCCTAAAGACAGACTCATAACCTAGATCGAAGAAAAACCCTTCAGTTTCAAAACTTTTTTTTATTTTTTTGTTGGTTTTTTTTTTATAGCTGGCATTGGTTCCCAGTTCTTAAGGGATTTTTTTTGTTTGTTTTTTCTTATGGCTTGGGATTTTTTATTTTTTGTTGCAATTTTTTTTACAGTGGCTTTTTGGTTTTTTTTTTTTTGCAAAGTTTTTTGGTAGTTTTTTTTTTTTAATAAGGTATTTCTGGGCAGGGTTTTTGGTAAGGGTTTTTTTTTTTTTTGTAGTTCCTTAGAGCTCTATTTATAGGGCTCAACGAAGAGTTTCTCCCATCTATCTGGCATGATCCACACTACTAGGGATGGCGACAAGTGGAGTGAGAAGGCAAGGCATGGTGTAAAGCAAGAATAGTTGATTGTCAAGGTGGTTCAGACTCAAGGTCAGTTAGGGTAGGTACGGTGCCGTGGTGCTGTATTGCCGTGCACGGCACCGTGCCTACCCTATCTCTTTTTCCTATTTTATTTTTTATTAATAAAATTAAACAAAATTAAAAATCGAGGCCTAGTTCGGATAATTCAAACAAAATTTGATATCTATACCACAGCATTGTGCTTATCCTATCTCTTTTTTTTATTTTATTATTTTTTATTAATAAAATTAGATAAAAATTAAAAATTGGGCCTAGTCCAGAAAATTCAAATAAAATTCAATATCTATACCAATGTGAGCATTTCTTCTTTATTTAAAAATTCATATCTAAGTTGAAGCTTAATTTAAGTGATTCATGCAATTATATTTGAGTATTTACATTTAATTTAAATTTTAAATATCAATACTTATAATCCTTTTTTTATCCCTATATTACGATCTTTTTGTACTAAAAAATCCTCATATCTCTTTAAAAAGAACAAATACCAAGATTGAAGAACAATTCTTCCATGACATGCCATGTCTAATTTCAAGCAATTGATCCCTATCATCCACTTGAAACATTTGAAACTTCTAGGTAGCTAATCCTTTTTTTAATCATATTTTTCACCTTTTGGTGTTGAATTTAAAGATTTGATTGAGTTTTTTTCTCCCCATTTCCTGTCACCATTCACCAAAGACAGATGAATTCATGACATCACAATTTTGACATTGATCTTTTACCTTTGGCCTTGGTTAAAGTGCAACGAATCATACACATATATAGACTTTGGAGCAAATCAGTCTCATCTCTACTTTTACAAGATACTAATTGTTTGTCATCCTAACCATTTTAGGAAGCAAATGAAAAGAATTAAGGTATTAAAGAAAAGGAGAAACAAAAATGTAATCAAGTTGATTATGCTTGTTCTAAATTATGAAAAAGATAAATAGGAAGTATTCTCAAAGGCGAGCTGCAAAAATATGGTGCTACCTAATGTGGTCCTACTCAATTTTGTTTAAACCAATGAGATTTTGATAAAGATTTTAGATTGGAGTCGTAATACTATCTCTTTGAACGAACAAGATTACTTTGATTTTTGGTTTATCCATTTGTTTCTATCGACTTATTGGCTAGGTTTTAGGGTGAAAAGATGACCTTTATCATCCCTTTGGCAATCTACTTCTGATGTCAAGATTTGAGCCTAATTACCTCAATTTTCCTTCGGTATTTGAGCATAATGTCAAGCCTACTTGACTCTTCCTACAAATTTGTCTGAGTCTAAAACTGCATCATTTCGACCTTCATGATCTCTCAGGACACAATTCAAATAGCTTATGTTATTACAACTAGCAGTTGAATGTCTACCGTAAGAAATAGGGCTACTGTGAGTTTTGAGAGCTTGAAAGCCACTCCATTTATTGAAAGTACATTCCGCAATTAAGTGATTTAGCTAAAAAAAAAGCCAAACTAACAACTCCCCAAGTTAATAATTATCTCCATGATTAAAAACAATAGTTATTTACGATCAGACGTCGGCAGAAAAATGTTGCATCAATTGAAATAAACTACCCACCTACCAACTCATCAATCTGTGCATAGATTTTCAAACACACACGATCCACTTGCCATAGAAGTCCATGTAAACTAAAATCAATAATATTATTATGTAATTTGTCGATGGAGTATTGAATTTTTATTTTTAATAATTAAAATTAAATTTTAATAATATTTAAAGTTTTATATACAAAATGTAATTAATTCTAATAATAATATGATTCAAATCTAATGATTAATCATATTGTTAAATTTTTCATAATTTATCTCAAATTCCAATACATTTCAGATAACTAAATGAAACAGCTCCAATACAAAGACTTGCTTCTATAATTAAATTATTTGCGATTAGGGAGAATTGCTCATTTGAATAAAGATGTCCAATATCCAGGTTGACTGGATACAATTGAACTGCCCCCAAATTGGTATTAAATTATTCAAGGGTCGCTCCTTCTTGTCAATAATTATGTAAGATAAATTTGGCATCGGTTGGAAAACACTTTTTGACAAGTTTGATTTGCCCTCGGACATGACATCAACCTATCGTACAATATTATTGGATAAATAAATCATTGAATTGGACAATTGGAGATACTCTACCTCGAACATTTCCCCTCACTAATCACAATATAATACAATGTTTGTGCTTTCAAAAAATTGTTGTGATTCAAATGAAAATATAGATATTTGAGTGGTGCTTAAGAAAATTGAAGTCTCTTATCCACCCGATGTATTAACAAAATGTCAGCGCCTTAAAAAACAAGGCCAGAATCTTCTACTTGTTTTTAGGATATCTGCTGGTTAATTGTTTTGATACAGTGGACATTGAGTTCACCGAGGGAAAAAGAGGCCCAATATTTTTTTAAGAACATTCTCATCGGAGATCCTAATGGTCTCTGGTTGCTGAGAAACTTAGAAGGGATGGCATTGGAATCCGATGATCATGGAACCTTTTGGTATTAAGAAATTCGCAATTTAAGGATAAAAAAATTATAAATGTTAAATTTTGAATTTTAAATTATGAAAAAATATAATTAAATTTTGAGTTAATTGACAATGAAATTTGAATGGCCAGAAAAAGGCATATATCCCTCTTAATTTTGAGCTCACTTTAGTAGTTTATTATTGTATTATTTTAACATGGCTGACATGTAAGGGTTTGCCCTCGGAAATCATCTAATTTAAGAGATTAAAGTAGCTATTAACCAAAACTTCTCTGTTTTGGTTCTGTTTGTTACTTGAACAATAAAGAACTTGATGGTATATTATGCAACACAGAATAGCATTTGATTCTCAAACTTGAACCAAAGAAATTTACGCTTGATAAGTCCTTTTTCATTTCTGGCAGTGTTGTGTCAAGTGTCAAGGGTCATGCATCATCACCTAACCGCGACTAAACAAGAATGAGCAAGATCCCAAGTGTCCAAACAGGTTGCAGACGAGACAAGCGTTGCCCAAATGGATATGAGGTCCAATATCTCAAGGATCAGCTCTTGGCCCTACTCCACCAGACATATCCGAAATGAAGACTCAGTTCACGTTCAATACACACTTTTCAGGGTTCCCTTTTTTTTTTTTTTTTTTTTTGAAAATATCCGACGCAAAAAGGCTTTCTTCAATCCTCCAGTAAGGGCACTGATTTGCAGTTTTTTACTCATCTTACGAAAATGATTAGTATTAGAATTTAAATTTTGTTATTTTATAGATAAATAAACTGACAATAAATCAAACTAATCCCTCCTTAATACCTTTGAATTCGTAAGTTGTTTCCAACAAATGTTCAGTTTTAAGAAGTTTTAAATTAAAATCCTAGTTGTTAGGAGTAAAGAAAAACAAACTTCATGGCATGGCCAGTGGAGCCCTCCGAAGTAAATGGGAACCCGATAGACCACGACCTTATTATTTCCTGGACAAGTTACCTTATGTTAGTGAACTTGGTCATGTGAGCAATTTGTCGACATGGCTGAAAAGAAATCGGATGACAAGGAAGTCCTTGAATGAAGTGCCCAACACATGTTTCTTACCACATCTGGGGACCCCACACTCCCTACCTACCTTGTGTTGGCGCCCACTTGCCCCTTGGTACCATCTTAACCCAGGAAATACAAAACGCCAAGGAAAAATACTCAAGCGAATGAACTTGTCTGATCAGATTCGGAACCAGAGAAAGAAGTGGCTGGTTTTTGTGTGATAGAACGCTGTCAATTTGATGTTGGTTCTTCACAATAGTTATTCATCCCATAAGTATGTGGGATGAATCTATTTTTACAGGTGATACTGCAAGTCCTAAGATGCTTTGCCCCACTGTTGAAGGACAATTGAGTCGGCTGTCCTGCAATTGGCAAAAGCTAGTAAGATATCTGACCCCTGATGGAAGTATTTCTTCGCTCGTTTCAGAGGGAATCAAAGATTGGCTTTTCTGACAAAGTTTCGTTACTCTTGCAAAAGATGTTAAGTGTTTTCCAAGTCTCCTTTCTTGGGTTGCAGCGGTGGTAATCCCAAAAGATAACCGTATTGGGGTTACAAAGACTTCAATTCAACTTCAAATGAATTAGAGGCTCTCTTGTTTAATACATAAAAAGAATAGAATACACTAGCCTCTTGGGTTTTTTTTTTTTCAATTCAGTATTTCCTAAACATGCAATATTATACGGTTTCGTTTCCTCTATACAAGCGTAGGCACTTTCGCAATTCGTGCAACTCTAATTGTTGCGATTAACAATATGCACATGGTAAATCAACCATTGCATTAGCAGAACACGTCCATCAAGATGCCATGATTGCGATCATCGCAGATCGATGACATCAAAGTTCAGACTGGGATTCATATACACATCCGTACAGGAATTGTAAATGGGCCCCCCATCAGGATGTCCATCGTGTGGATGAAAGCCACGTTGCTGGCACTGTCTGATGACTGACATGCCACCGGGAGTTGTCAAACGAAAAATGCCATGTTTTCTGCGCTCACCAAAGGGATAAAAAGTTCACCAGTAATTGATACAGCACAGAATCAAAAAGTAATTAATCATTGTCGCGTGCTCCTCACCTTGAGGTATCTCTTGGCGCCATTACTATTGCTACAGCTTCTGGCAACATAATCTAGATTCACAGACAATCATTTCTGTCACATTTAAAGAACAATGAAAAAACACATACACATACTGGCTTCTCTACTGCATAAGACCAAGTTCCTGGAGATCCTGCTAAAATGTGGATCTAGAGTTACTAAGAGAAAGTAAACATAAGAAAGCAGGAAATTTTCCTATTGGCATGCTGGAAGTAACTCCTGCCAACACGTTACAAACCCCATTCAGGAATCCCAGATTAAGAGGGAGAAAATGTGGTTTTATAGTCTAGTCTCTCGTCCAATTTCACAAGCACAAGGCTACAGAAGAAACAGCTAGATATGGGTTTGGAAGGACATCAGTACAGTTTTCACTTCCATAAAGAGATTGGGAAACGATGAAATGAAGAATGTAGGGAAAAAAAAATAGAAATGATCCTCTCCACTACCTTTTAAATAGTGGAAATGTCCACCACTTCATCTTGGGGTGATAAATGTACTTTCAAATAAATTTATGGTCAATATTTGTTCAAATTACTTCTGACGGTATTAATGAATATTTGTTAATCTTCCCTACTCAATTTAAGGTCTTTAAATTTCAGTCATAGATTAACTTCAATGAGCATTCTAAATCTTAGGATGAAGAAGGACATCTCTAATACTTTTTTAATAGAGAGGATCCTTACCCTTTAAAAAGTAAGAATACAGAGATGCCTAAAAGAAGAAAGAAATCATTTTCACTTCACTCTATCCAGCCCAGTCTATAAACTTTACACAAATTTCTTTTCTTCCCTGACAGTTTCTTGTGCCAGACACTGTCTCTACCTCAAGATAAGCATAAGAATGTCATTATTGAAATTAATAACAAAAATGACATTAGCAGCAACCTAAATAAATAACTGACATAAACATTTATGAATGAATCAATTATAAAAGGCACTGCTTTTGTAATGATATGAAGAGGCACATACCTGGTATGAGTAGTGAGTATGGAGATCAATTGATGACATGAAACATGATTGCGTAGGATGCGTCTAGGGATTGAAACATAGTTAATTAGTTGGTCAGCATAAAGACTATAAAACACCCATCCCCTCAAACATTAAAATGATATTATTGAATAATATGACATTAGACATGCAAAACCTCAATTAAAATAATGGAACAGATCTGACAACTACCTTGCAATCTATGTTGCATGGTATTAATGTCCTATACTCCTATTTTATGACACAAGATCTTGATTAATGGACTTGGAAAAAAAGATAGATTTTATTTGTTTACTCCCCCTCCCTCCTACAATGGCAAACATGGAAAAGATATTGCTTCTGTTCATACACATACAACAGAGTAAGGAGACCTATTCAAGCTATGTAAGCTCCTCTAATCTATGCTAATATAAAGCTCCTGAGAGTTTGGTGTCACAAGCCAAGTGAAACCAACTCGGTTGGAGAATTGACAAAAAAAAAAAACAAATTATAAAATAAAATGTGCAATAATAAGGTCAAAAAGCCCTTTTTTTTTAACCCACTTCTCCCTACCTTTATCCATTCTAAAAAATTGTACATGCAATTATTTCACTAATTCATGTTCTTTTGTATATTTAAAGATGATATTTTTTTTCTCTTTTTTAATGGTTATATTATATAAATATCCAATTATTTATTTATTTCACCCACATAGGGGTGTAAATAGGACTAGCACACCTAATATCCCTTTCTTCTTTTGGTTTCCACTGTATAAAAAAAAAAAAAAGGATTGACCAGAAGTATGCCTCAGCTGGCCTGCACTAGACAGGCACATATTGACTCAATTGTTTTCTGTTTGGTGTTTTTTTCATTTGCAACATTTGATAAGCATTTAGAACTTAGAACACTCCAAATATATATTTTATAGTTACCTTCCTATTTAAGCATTCAGCTTAACTACATTATTACCCCTAAATGTGAGATCAATTTCGGATTACCACACAAATTTCTAACTGAAGCATTGTTCCTATCACTAATCCCCTGTAATATGCTGCCATAAGCCCCAACAAAGACTGCAACACCACATAGGGTCGCAAATCACGAAATTAGCACACAAAAACCAATTAGCAAAGACTTCAATTGCAAGTGATGATTTCTTATCCCAAAAATAGGGGTGCAAACATGACAAGTTTAATGAAATTCAGGAAAGCTGAGTCTCTTTGGTTGAGGCTTGTCTCAGCTAACTTTAATCGAGCTTGAAGAAACATACAAAGCTCAATTTGAGCTTAAAAGCATTGCTTCATTTTGGCTTGGTTGACTTTATCTATTTCTCTTGCTATGCTACAAATAAAGGGCCTCTTTGTGGGCTTCAAATAATCACAGTCATAGTGGCCCTTGGCTTATGAAATCCTACATTTGCATGATTGCTTCAATTCTGCGGAGAAAACACCAAAGGGATGGGCTTATTTATGGAGACAGATCCTCCTTTACAAGTGCTCATTTATGGCCTCATGGACACATGAAAACCCTAGTTGTAAAAGTATATTTTTTTAAATTATGTACGATTTTTAACCTATGCTATGCCTACTTTCTCAAATATAAATATCTTCCAAAAATAGAGAACATAGCAAAATAAAATAAGGTTCTATGAAGCCTTTTCAAAAATAGGTTATCAAGTTCATTCATGAACATAAGTCTGCCGTGCTTACCTATATTCCAACTGACCTTGTTTATTAATAAGTTGGATTTTTTTTTTTTTTTCAAGTTACCATTTAGGGACGCAAAAGCAATTTGTAAATGAGCAGAAGTTTAAATATAAGGTCTAGAGAGCAAACTACAAAACACTTACATGAATCCAACCCAGGGGGAAGAGAGATTTCTTGTCCTGTACTTCAAATATTTCCTCCTCATTTGTCGTTTGACACTAGCAAAAAGAAAACAGTATAATAAAAGGAATCACATAACCCGCTAAAAGAAGAGTAAAAAAGAAAGTCAGAGAAATTTGATTTATGATAGAGAATTAAAGTGAGATATAGTGAATCCACAATGTGTCAGCCATACCGAGTTAGATGTTGATTCCTGCTTTGGGATAATAAGAGCTGTAACATAGAACTTTCTATTTTTCTGCAGAACAGTATCACATTAAAACTTAAAGTACTGCATTGCATCAAAGACAAAGCAAAGGTCTTAAGGTATCAGTACTTACAAGCGAACCTGCAAGGACACCACAAGTTTCTAAATTCCTATCAGTATTTGATTTAGCCAGCTTCATGAAGCTTTCCATCATTGTGGTTGCCTGCAACATACAAATGCCAAGTCAAAACACTGGGGGTTCCGGTGGATAATAAGCATTAAAAGATCCTTCATTAGAAGGACCAAATTACGCCATTGTCATTCCAAGAAGCTTGACTCTCGATGAAGAAAACATAGAATAAACATCAACAGAAAATGTCAAGAAACTTACAATGTGTAATTGTAGAGGAGATTCAGAATGAACAAGACCATCTGCCGAGGGATTCTCTATTGTACAATCTGTCTTGGTGACCTGGGGAGATATAGCATGAACCAAATCCTGTACTTCTGCAAGTACTGGAGGAGGAGATGGCTGTCTGGTAACATTAATATGAACAGGGGCAGTTTCTGATTCTTCAAACGAAATCATCGGACAAGGTTCGTCCACATGACACTTCTGATTATTCTCACTATTATTAATGGTAAGAGTTGATTCCATGCTTGATGCTTCGGATTCTGAGTTGCTATGATCATTCTTCCTTGGAAGTTCATTTTCTATAGGCTGCTGCAAACTGCTTACACATAAATACAGATAAAAATGTATTCATAACATAAACTTCTCCAAAACAATTAAAACAAATAAAAAACATTAGCATTAAGCATGGAGGGCTTCTTCAAAGTTTCAAAATTTACTTCAAAGGCAATATGCTTCCATAAAATAATCCTTTAATGCCTCCAGAAACTATATTATTTTCCTCTAACAGTCTATCAATGCAACTTGAGATTAACAAGTAGGAATTACTCCCAAAACCTATAATGGGGCTGACCTTGGGAATTCAACTGGAGTCAGGTCAATGTTGCTTGGATATTGCACCTGCAGTAAGAAAAGAAATGTAAGCACAATTTCTTACGGAGGACCAGAGAATTAGATAAATATCATCATACCCCTTTATCACTCCTAGGTGGCTGCCACTGCCCATAAAGACCATTTGGACCCAAAATAGAATGTTTGGAGAGGGTTTCCTCCTTTGGACGCAGTAGGTTTAATGACCTAAAGAAGCAATAAAGCAATTAAGGATCATCAAACACACCTTCCAATTGTAACATGCACTAACTCTGGAAGTTGAACTCCAGATTCAATTCCTATAAGATAAAAAGGCAAAGCTAGCAAAATTGAACAGTACAGAATTTGTGAAGCAAAACCCAGCAAAGCATCTCTGCAAGTTAAATATCAACTAAAATAGTGGAATAAAATGCCAAAGGAAAAACAAATGTGAATCAATTCTTGCAACATTTCCTTCAATGACAATATTAAAGAGAAATGGAATAAAGAAAGCTATCGTAACCTCTATACAGCATCCATGACATTAAAAACTTCAGATTTGCATGATCATTCAAGAAAACCACATAAGAAAATAGACAAATAAGCAAATCAAGACTTGTGCACCATGATGGAAGCCTTGCAACAGCTTTGATAGAAACAAATACACTATAGCCACAGTATTAATAGGCAAAGAAAAATAAAGATGAATTTATCCAGTGTTAGCATGGATACCATTCTAGATGCTACTCAAAACTGAACACATCATTAAAACAAAAGGAAAAATGCTAGGTCTTTATCTGGTGCTTCCATCACTTGAACCATTGATTTAACACCTGAAGAAATCACATTAAGGAAAATGAACTTTGAATTTGAGTGTTCCGAATTACAATTTTGGGGAATAGAGGAAGGCCTTACTTATAAGACAAGGTATTTCGGGAAGTGAAAACTAAAGACAAGTACATTTTGGGATACTGACAGTTGAGTGATGTGCAATCAGTTCATACCAACTAGAAAAATCAAACAACCAGGAAAATGGTATAAAATAAAGAAAAGAGACAGATATAGCATGGTACCAATAAGTTCACAATAATAAGAAAGGGGGAAGTCTTATTAAATAGGAAAGCAAAGAGATACCTTCGAATAAACAGAAAAAGAATACAACAATATAAAATTCAATGAAGCATTTATACAAGCCAAAGAATAAAGAAAACACAGGCCATATTTGATATTAACATTTCTTACAACTTATTTAAATTCTTTCCAGTGGTTAGATATAGGTTTTGATAGGTCAAATAGTCTCATATCAGAGTCAGTTTTCCTAATTGTTTGCAGATACAACTGCAATTTATAGCAGTTCAAATATGCTCCAAGCAAGTCTAATCAATGTGCACAAGCTGGACACAAGTTCCCAGACTTAGGGCTGGGAGACAGGTTGGTGAACATAGCCATCTGCTCTACTTTGAACAAGACTTCAGTTACAATGTTGGAAAATTCAACCCTAACTCCATCTTATGGACAGAGTAACTTGTCCTTATCACTAACACAAAATGCAAAATAAACAAATAAACACGCACTTCATTTGCAAGACATAATTTTGCAACAGATACAAATTTCAAATCCTAATCAAAGCAATCTTCTAATAAGCTTAATGGATTGGCTGATAAAATGTTTCCACCCCACTCTTTCTCCATTAGAAAAGAAAGGGAAAAAAATCAATTTATAACAAAATTAGCATCTTAGAGTGCCCTATAAGCTTGTTTCTCATATTTATTTTTCTTTTAAATTTAATAGTGACAAGCTCAACAGTTAAAAAAGAATAGAAACTTTATGCTGTTTGTTACTGTTTCAATAACTATGAAAACGTTTTCTCTCACTTGGCATAGATTTGGAATAATATATGGCAGTTAACCTTATAAATTTACTATTTGTCTATATTTTAAAGGTTACGAGGGGTGATTTGATAGTAGATACCAAAAAAGGAGCTTAAAATATATTGCTTCCCCTTGCCATAATGATTTAACTTTCAGAAATTGCACAAATTTTGAAAACATAAGGCTGGATTACGCTTTTCTTCATTTGTTTACATGACTGCCCCTCCCAAAATCACTATTATTTATGAGAAAATAAGTCATTAAATGCTCTTTGGTAGTTTATTTTGAAGATCTTGAAAGGGATTGGGAGAGGTAGCTTAGTGGGTTTAAATTAACCAAAATGCATATCTTAGGACAACACATACTGATATGATGAGAAACTTATAAATTTTTTCCAACACAAAATCATTGCTTACGGTTCAAACTTGTCTCTGCTAAACGGCAAAAGTAACAATGCAAATAAGTAGCAAAATGTTCACTTCCACTCAAAAAAAAGTGCAAAAGCAAAACTGCAACTAATTACAGGAAATTAATCTGTAATTTACCCAAAAGTTTCACCATAAAACATACTAAGTGATTAATATACCCCTATCAAATTCAAAGCAATCTTTATATTTCACACACTTATAACTACATGATTAATATGGCCCCTTCAAATTCCAAGCAATCTTTGTAGTTCATGCACATACCCTTTTTCTAGATGCATGCGTGGTTTTTCTTTTCTTTTTTGTTTCGGAGCTGACTCCACAAACATAGATTTGGATTAATGCTGAAATAGATGAAGCACTGAACAGACAGAATTAGATTCTATAGACAATTTAGGCGGAAATATAATACCCTCTATTTATATTGTTTCATCCTTTAATCCTCCAGTTTACCACATTAGTCATAACTTCCTCATTTTCAAATTTCCATCTTGATGTATCCCGCATCAAACAATGCTATACTGATTTTTATAGAATAGCAGAACTACTACATTATTAAAAACCTAAGGACAAACATTCACTCACCTAGATAGCAAATACAAGCTTAGCAAACTTTCTATCTTGAACAGAATCAAGCTAGATTCAGCTAGAACCAACAAGAATCAACTAGTAAATGCAAGATATTTCGCCAACCAACGAAAATCAGAGTGGCAAATGCTTGTTTCAGATTTGAGAATATGCATATACATTTTATCTTCTAAATTGACATGTTATTAACAGGCATATTGTCAATATTGTAAACGGTTGTATCAAATAGAATAACCAGTAATACCTCTATAAGGAAAATTAAAACTATAATAGGCATTAAGCTCAAGGTTATAATGTTGCACATAACAAAAGAGTTCACACGCAAAAGTAGTTAAGTGTTCGGTACTGTCTATTGTAACATCCAGATGTTAAACATAAAAAGGCAGGTAAGAAGAGGGAGAGGAGACAAAAAGACCAATGTAGACCGTTTGTATCTTATTGAGGAGGTGAAACCAATTCTTTACTTCAAGTTCTGAACTCTATGCAACAATAGTGGGAAACCACTAAAATTAAGAAAACAACTTACATTCTCTGAAATTGCGCTTCCATTGGCTTGGAATATGAAAGTTGTTGAATTCTTGAACCATAATAACCAAGTTCTTTTGCAGCTGGTCTAACTGCCTGCAGATAAACAACAGAATTCATTTTGATCAAGCTGGATTTACAAGAGTAAAAGAATAAATCAGATATTGTGTAGCTATAATTATAAAAGAACACTAACTCAGCCTATACTACAAGATGATCAAAAGGCAGTCAAAAAAATTAATGTAGCAGCTCATGAGCAGAAATCAGAAGCACAGACAGTACCTTTGTCACACCATAGTATGTCAAATTTTGGTTTTTCACAGCAGATTGCTGCAATGAATTACTTTGATAAGTATATCTTCTGTTTAATTCATTGATCTTTTGTTGCACCCCTGGCTTCAAATCTTCTAGCTCATTCAAGGCATTCAGTAGTCTCTACAACAAGAATTTGAAATCAAATTTCACATCAAACCTTTAGAATAATAGCAGACGTACATAAAGCGGGGAGAGAGAGAGAGAGAGAAGAAATTACCCTTTTCAAGTAAACCTTTTGGTTTTGTAGAGACGGTCTATAATCTCGATGACAAGGTATTGTCTCAGTAACCAAACTGAAGGAAGAAAGAGGGCCAGTGAGATGGGGAACAATATATGCATTTCAAAGGAATATTAAGAATTTCACAAGAATCCACTACAAAGTGCCTTTTTCTGACCTTGAAAACCTTAGAAGCATAATGTATAGATCTATAATATTCTTCTCAGCTCGAAAGATATCAGCCTAGAGAGCATTGAGTATATCAGAAAAAGCCAGATCATTTCGAGCAAAAAGTTAATTATTCACAATATTAAGAAAGAACATGCAAACATAGTGCAGTTAGAGAAGCAAGATAAAATTACACGGCCAATATTAAAACATTAGCAGCCAAATATTTAAGAAAATATTAGAGAGAATCTAGGGTAGCAACCTGTATTAGACATGCATTAAACCCTAAATAATGAACTACAATAAAGTCATTGACATTCCAAATCAAAGAATAATCGTCCAAGCAAGTGCAAAATAATTCATTTCTCCAGTTACAATATAATTTAACAAGTGTCACAAAAAAAAAAAAAATATGCTGCTTTTTGAACACGTATTTCATTCCAAATACTTCCTTACCTGTTATTTTTCAATTCATTGCCTCAGTAACCTACAAAAAGGATCTAAGCTAGAGATTGTTCTTAGCTTTGATAAATAAAGACAACAAAAACTTATGATGAAATCGAGCTTAATCCAATTGATTCAGGAAGTCAACCATAAGAGATGGCATCCATCAAGTTTGGGGTTCAAATATTAACACCTGCAATCTCTTCCTCTATCTCCAGACTACAGCTTCTTTTGTACCAAAAAAAATCTATTTCTCAATTATGCATCAAAATTTACAACAAAAAGAGAAGAAAATCCATATTTGAACTTTACTTGGAAAAGCAGGGTAATAAAACTACATCAGATTAATTGAGTACATTGGCGTCAATTGTATACCACAAAGCTATAAACACCTAGCTGAATTCCTATAGAATGTTATCATTATCTTTTATCAATGACAGAATTTTAGTACTTCAAATTTTCCATCCCAATGAAAAGTACATCATATCTCAGCTTTCTCCAATTTAAGTCTCCATGTGGTTATTACTTCTGTTATTTGCTTTTTGCTTCCGGAAACAAAAGGTAAGAAGTTCATTTGCATACAAAAGAAAATACTTTTAACAATTCAAAAAATTAAAATTATTCACATTTACCCAATAAAAACAGAAAAAAAAAATTAAAATTATATTCTTTTTAGAGAACGTAATTTTGCTGAAAAAAAATGTTAAAATTGGGGTTTCATTTTAGTTATTTGTTCATTTTAAATCACTAATCATTCTATTTTCCTCTATTTGCTTTTGATTTTTAGCAACTATTTAGGAAGCAAAACCGAATAGCAAAATGCAAATAACAAAAGAAACATCCAAACGAGGCTTAAGTCTCCTTAATCCACTAAAATACCAAAATTATGGAATGCATTACAAGTAATTTAACAGGAAAATAAATACATTTAATAAGAAATAAACCTGTTTGAGAATATTGTCGGCGATCCGGTAGTAATATCGGAGAGAGATCCGATTATCAACATCGAGTTTTTGCGCACTCGCCGCTATGTTTATTCTCTCCGTCGAAGACCTCATCCCTTCTTCTTCAAATTTTCCCTTCTTTTCCTTTACTGGTTAGCAAAATAAAGTTCGGTGGACCGGCGAAGTCCGATCATTTGAGAAACGTCGTCATCGGCGGATTGGGCGAGAAGGAAGGGACGTGGTACAAAAGAAAAAAGTCATTCAGCAATCTGTTAGGGGCAATTATGGAATTGCGTAAACTTTTATTTCGTCATTATTGCAATATTTCCTACTCTTTGGCAGCCGGGTTTCGGCACCCCGTGTTCGGCCCGAGCAAGAATTTTTTTTTTTTTTTTTTTCTTTTGTTTCAAGAGCAACACGATCTTAACATGTCATTTATGCTGGAATATGTTAAAACTTTTATCAATTACTTCCTCCGTTCTATTTTTTTATTTATTTTTTTAATATTTTAAAATATTTAGAATTTTTATATTTTAGAATTATTTATTTAAAATTTATTTTATTTTTTATATTAAAAAATAAAAAATTTTAATTTTATAAAAAATAAATTTTAATATTAAAAACACCTCAAAATTAATATTTAAATAATTTAAAACAGATAGAGTATTATTTATAAATTGATTAAATACAATAATGATACCTAAATAATAATGTGAATATTTAATTAATTTGATAAGCTTTTTTGAAAAAAAAATTTTATTATTGGGTTTTTTTTTAAATATAAATTGGTTATCTAAAATTACAAAAATGACATCGCTACATAAACATAATGACATAACCAAAAACTTGGGTCCATATGCATTAAATTTCATTTTATTTATCAAAAAAAAAAAAAAACTTGTGTCGATGACATCAATTTAATAGAATTAATTTTTTTATTTATAATATTTTGTTACTTAATACAACTTTGATAAAATAAAATATAAAAAATATCTCATAATATAATACAATTTTTTAATAAATAAATATTTTCTTACAATTTTATCTATAATAGAAATGTATCTCAATAATTTTGTTAATGGTGTCATATATTATTTTTCTTTTTTCTACTATATATATTGTTCAATTTTAAAAGTTGAATGAATCAATTGACCCATTCAACATAAGATAGTTATGTCACAGCATGCACATATTCCATACATATAAACTATACACATCAAATTTTATTTTTCTTCAATTTAATTTTTTATGTTGTTAAATCTTTGTATATGTATACGAATTTGTATAATTGTTACATTTATATAAGTTTTCTCCCTTGTAAAAATATTAATTAAAATGATCATTTGTTAATATGTTTAGTCAAAGATGATAAGATGATTTTCTACCAATAAAAGCACATTTTATATAATACAACATGATAAGAAGCGGCGTTCTATCAATAAAAACAATAAAAACACACCATATGGAATGCTAGTGGGTAACGTTTAACTTGTTGAAAAAACAGACTAGCACCAAAAACATAAACTCAAACAATTGTTCTTAAATAAATCACCATTTGTTAACCCCACTATCATAAAAAGAACGTTATAAATCTTTTAAATGTTAGGCCAAATAGTTTCAATCTTATCACATCAGTGAAAATAAAATCAAATAATCAATTAAATAAACACAATATACAATAATTTAATATAATTCAGTTCAATCGACTTACGTTCATAGATGAAAAATAAGAGCCACTAGTTATAAAAAATAAAAAATATACATATCAAATCATTAACTTCACTCAATAATCAATACTCATAAGACATTCTCAATCTCTTCTAATCTTATGAAGTATTCTCAACTCAAACAAACACATATCCATATACACCCTTTCAATACAAACAAATACATACTCATATATATATCAATTCATCATACCTATGTGAATTTTTTCAATCTCTTTTAGTTCACTCATAAATATACACATCCATAAGATATCATCAGTATTTTTATAGGGTGTCTATCCCACAAAATCTTACAACTCTCTTATATCTTTTTTTCATACTAACTTTATAGAGACTTCAAATATTTATAAGTATATAAATTTACCTATTAAAAATTTTTTTCCTCTTAAAATTCTTATTCTATAAGTTTTTTTGTCCATCAAACAATATCTAATAAATCTCAAACAAACTTATTATGCAATTTGAGTTATTATTCTTAACATTAAATACCTACCAAATGTCTTAATTAATAAATAAAAATTTTTGAAAGATTTTTTTTATTTATGTTAAAAAATATTTGAGCTGTTATTGGTTGACTTGATAGGATTTGAATATTTCCCTTGTAAAACTTAGATTTGAATTCCATTATCAATAAATTTTTTTTTATGGACAATCTACAATTGATGTAAGTTTGTTGTAAAGTCTGTGATCTATGTTGATTTTGAAATCGAAACTTTCTTGACATCTCAAACTTTAAAAAAAAAAATGATATGAGTTGTTAATGTGGGAGAGCAAAAGAGATAAAAATGGAAGAAGAAAATAAAAAGGGTAATAATTGTTCGAACTATATTCGATTTGAATTTTTTTAGATAATGTATAACATTATAAATTTTTAAAATTTAATTTAAATTTGAATTGATTTAGATAATGTGTAATATTATAATTTTTTAAATTTTAATTTGAATTTGAACAGACTTTTTTAAATTGATTTATTTGAATTAAATTTTATTAATTTGGTTTGATTAATTGGTTTTTAAAATTTAAGATGTTTTATATATTATTGTACTATGATTTTTAATATATTTAAATAAATTTAAATATAAAATAATTATTTTATTTTATAAAATTTTAAAATATATAAAAACTAAAAATATATATACTTTGGTTCAATTCAATTTTTTACATTTCAATTCGAAATTTGATATAAACCTAATATATATATTTAACATTTAAATATAATCCTCATTGAATAAAAAAACCGATATAAAATGAAGTAAATAATATAATTTCAAATCAATTTTCAAGATTTTCGATGTTTTTCATCCTTTCTTCTGGGTATGAGCTGTCGGTATTAACAATGTACATGAAAATGCACCAATGTGTTTTTTTTTTTTTGAAAGAAATACCATTTCATTGCATTTTAAAATCGATACAGCATCTCAGATTCAATATTACAAAGAACCTCAGGTACTTCATCTAGCCAAGCTCTATCTTCTCTGATCTCACATCCAAGCTTTAGGAGCTTGTGGGCTGCTACGTTGCACTCTCGGCTTGAATGCATGAAAACATAGTGGGAGAACTGTCTGGCCATCATTCTTGCCCCTTCTATGATGGGCCTTATCATTGAGAGGTCCTCATCACTTACTTTCAGTCTCTTTATGATACTAAGTGAATCCCCTTCCAGCATTATTTTCTGAAGCCCCAGATCTACTACGACTTCCATTGCTTTTACTACTGCATGTGCTTCTATCACAAACGATTCCTTTACTCAGTCAACTTTTGCGGCCAAGCCCCAACAATTCTTCCTTCTGCATTTCGAACAACAGCCCCAGTTCCTTCCTCGTGTTCTTTTTGTTTCAATGCACCGTCGAAGTTCACTTTATGAAAACCACGTTCACAAGGTGTCTATGCTCATTGGTGAGCCATTTGTTCAATCTCCATTGTCCTTTGTGCCTCAATGAACTCACAACTGTACTGCCGAATAAACTCTGCAACTTGATTGGGTTTTCTTCTCCCCTCCCCATGTAGCTCCCTGTTTCTATCAGACCATATAGCCCAAAATGCTATGGCTAACCACTATATTTGTTCCTCGTCTACATCCCGGACCATTCGCTGAGCCCATTCCTTATCTGTGTCAGTGATTGTGTCTGTCACGTTCCAATCATGATTTAGTTGTTTCCATACTCCAGTCGTTACTGTGCAATCCTTCAAAGCATGCTGTATAGTTTCTGTTTCTTGCCCACATCTGAAGCAAATGTCAGTGACTGGTATTTGTCTACTCTGTAATTTTGATAGACTGGTAAGCATCCTCTACATGTTTTCCATGGAAAAACCTTTTATCTTGTTCGGTATTGCAGCATCCCATATTTTCCTCCGGCATTCTTGATTACTTCTTTGCCCTGTACAATCCTATTATGACTCCCTTGGCATAGATACTTGTAGCCACTTTTCACCGCATAAATACCTCTTTTGTCATAATGCCATACCAGTTTGTCTTGCATCCCCACCTTGCTAATCAGTATTAGACTTATGGCTAAAGCTTCTTCTTCAGAAAACAGTTCCTCGATCCCATGCATTTTCCATTGCTTGGTTCGCTCATCAATTAGTTCTTTAACCAGCCAGTCCTCATTTTCTCTTTTCGCTTCTGACTTGGGTATGAAATTTGGAGCCCCTGCCAACCATTTGTCCTTCCAGACTCTGACCGAGTGCCTATCCCCTATTCTCCAACGTGTGCCTTATCTGATGATAGCCAATGAAGTCCAAATACTCTTCCAGACTAAATAAGGATTTTTCCCCAGACCATAATCCAAAACAGAGTTGCATAGAAAGTACTTTGCCCTCAAAACACTATAAGCCAACGTGTTGGTATTGCTATGTTGAACTTCTCCATATCCCGAAAGCCCATCCCTCCCTCATATTTTGGTGTGCACATGCTTTCCCAGCTAATCCAATGAACCCCTTTCCTATCTTTATTTTGTTGCCACCAGAACCTGCTTATCATACCATTCAGTTCGTTGCACAAAGCCTTTGGTAGTAAAAAACAGCTCATGGTGTATGTTGGCACCGGTTGAATTATTGCTTTAAGAAAAATCTCCTTGCCTCCTTGAGAGAGAATTCTATTGCTCCAGCCACTCATTTTTGCCCGAACTCTGTCTTTGAGCTCTCTGAATGCCCACCTTCAATTTCTCCCTACCAATGATAGCAGGCCCAGATATTTTTCTAGTCAAGTGATACTTCAATATTGAGGATCTCCTTTATTTCATCCTTCTGATTCTCAAATATGTTTCTACTAAAAAATATGGTCGATTTGGCAAAGTTGATACACTGTCCAGATATGTCTTCGTATCTCTGTAGCACATGCTTCATCTTTTTGCTCTCATTCCTATTTGCTTTTACAAATAACAGGCTGTCGTTAGCGAAAATAAATAACTTTCAGACCATTTCTGCTTGCTTGTAGCCCGTGTATCAACCTTTCCTCCTGCACCTTTGAGAGGAGGGCTGAAAGTTCTCTTTGACGAAGACCTCTTTCTGGTTTGAAACTGACAGTAATACCACCATTTTCCACTAAAGAATATGTAACAAATGTAACGCATCCTATGATTAGCTCAGTTCATCTCTTTTGCTCCAAAAAATTCCACTCCACCCTATCGTAAGCTTTGCTTATGTCTAACTTAAGGGCAAAAAATTCATCCCTACCCCCTTTTTCTTCTTTAATATATGTAGCATCTCAT